GGAGTAAACATGAACTGTCTTTGTAAACTACTAATTTTTGAAGCTAAAAAAACCATGATCCTGGTCAAAAACAAAATCGTGATTATTTGTCACAACGACTCATTTAGTATGAAAACTCGTTTTATTCACAGACTTTTGTCCTTTTCTTTCAGATTGCAGTAAATTTAAAGTGTCTAATCAGAAGGCTGAAAAAAAACATCACAGCATTTAATACCTAGCAAAAATAAACATTTATCTTTTTTTGTTTGTTTGTTTGGAATGCTCTGCTTAAAAATCTTACATTTAGTTTTTTACAAAGGTGATATTATTTTTGAATAAAAGCAGCTCAAACATGTTTCCAGGCAGAGTGGGCCACGTCACATCAATCTGTCCTCTCTTAAATCATCCAATTACAAATTTCTCAACATTTAGAGTTTTACAAAGACTTCTGCTATTTGTGTTTACATATCCTGAGAGCAACAGACGAAGGGATGTTTAGTATTTTATAAAAAATTTGACCTTTTTCAAAAATGTAAATAAACACAAATTTGATTAATTGCACCTCGATATGCTGAGATGTAACTAAACAGTTATGACACAGTTAAATATAAAGATATTTTTAACTAAACAATGACAAAACTAAACCGTCTCAGAAATTCAGGGATTGTTTCTGTTAAACAGAAAAAAAGTTTTTTAGGATTTTCTGAATGTATGCGATGAAATTTCTCTGGCATGTTTACAAAAAGCCAGATACATATGAGATTTAATTCTTTCTTAAGATCCACTATGATAGAACATGGACGTTGCAGCAGTCAAGAACCAAACATTTAAATAAATATTTCATTTGAGGAGCTATAAGCCTCCAGAAGAGGCTGAGTGTTCAAGAGAAATGATTCCTGTTCTTTGGTTACAACGAGACAAAACGTGATCAATGTCGAGGACTGCAAAGACTTTCGATCGAGCAACATGGAAACCGACGTCAACGCTTTGATCAGGAAGAAAAATGAACCTGTCCGTCTACCCGGATCGGTAGAGCACTCAGGCGCACTTCACTGAACGCGAGGCATTAAAGGTTTAATACAGCGTCCCTCCAGAAACGCTCACAGTGCACATTAGGAATAAAATAACTGCATTAAGCTACAAGAGCAAAAGCTTTTAAAGTGGGAGGAAGGAGCTCCCAGTCGTTTCAGCTGAGCTTTGAACAATAAAATAAAAACAAGTTGAAATAGTTCTAAAACAATGAGCAATTCTGTTAAAAAGGTGGTTAATCATTTTTTAATTTGTCACTTCTTTTTTTGGGGAAAACAATCTATTTAGTACAAATAAGTAACTTCTTAACCCACAAGCCCTTTGTTTCCAAAAGACGAGGCTGCACATAATCTAGTGTAGTGATTTTCCAACTGAATGGAAATAAACTTCCTGTCTCAGCAAAAACCTGTTACTCTGCCCTCAACTGAAAGACCGAGAGATCATAGTGTCTACACGGTGATACCGCATGAAAAAAAAAAAAAAATGCTATAAATATAAACGCTTTGGGGGGGATTAAATGAAATCAGTTGCAATAACTCACCAGCTTCTGGAGAGAAGCCAGCTCCTCTGGGAGGTAACAAAGTCCCGTCCTGTTCAGCTTCAGCCATCGCAGGCTGCTCATACACTTGACGTGTTCAGGGAAGTATCCTCCCTGCAGGGACAGACGCAAACAGAGAGAGATGGGAGGATAATTAGGGAGAAAAACTCTGGAAACACAATTAAGACAAGCACTGACTTCAAAACAATAAACCGAACTGGAAGTTTCTATAAGGCCAGAGAAACTTTTTCAATCCTGATCAGACAGAATGAATGAAAGCAGCAAGTTGAACACCTGATTTAATCTGTGACGACTTCTTGATGTTACCGAGGTCAAATCTGTGTATCGTTGAAACAGTAACTGCATGATTTAACCCAAAAATAAACACTGTTAATCTGTGGAGTGTATTTATAGTCTGTTACAGAGAAGCAGGAGAACACAGATAATGTAATCTGGCTTACTTGCAAGGAAATGAACTGCGTTTTTGTTTTAATAGTGACTTTATTATTTTAATGACTAAGCAAAATCTGAAATAAAGCCTATTACATACAATTAATAGATTTGCATTTTCAGGAAGTAATTGCGAGATGTAACGCGTCTCAGATGGAGTTTAGGTTTCTCAGTTTAAACCTTCAGCCCACTGCTGAGATTTCCCACAGCTCTGAGTTCTGGAGGCTGGTTCGTTCTTCATCATGACCTATGCATGACCCGACTTCAGGCTTCTGGTTCAGGGATGCCAAGACATTATTTACATTTCCCCAGGACATGAAATTTCTACTTCCTTGTTTGACTCTGGAAAATGAAGCTTTTTCTCTTCTTCCAAACTATTTAGATTGATACCAAGGAGCTCAAACTTGGCCTCGTCTGAGCGCAGTACTTTCAAAAGTTGTATCTTTTTTTACTGTCTAATTTATGCCACACATGCACAAATTATTGTGGAGGCAACACAGACCCGTATTGCCTTAAGGGTCTGTGTCCTGCAACTTTTTGTTGTGTCCCTGTGGTACCACTGGACTTCAAATCACTCCAGAGTGCAGCTGATAAATTCCCTCTCCTCGTCTAGGAGAGCTTCTCTACAAGCCCACCTCTCAATGGCTTGAAAGAATGAGAGCCTTAGCGTGACCTAGTCAAAGTCCAGATTTGACTAGATCCTGTTGAATGATATGAAATTGAGCGTTCAAGCTCAAAAACCCTTAAATGTGCCTGAATTAGTGGGTCAAAATCTCACTGCTGCGATGGAAATAGAGTCAGTACCAGATGTAGAAACCGCCTGATTGCAGTTGTTGTTGTTGTCATCAATACGATCTCTCTCAATTAATTAATACACAGAATGAGGTCAAGTTATGACATTTTGGCCAATCATTGAGCAAACAAAGGCTGTCAGGACATACGGTAGTCATGACAACACTGGTTGATTTCAATCCCTCAACATGCTCTGACAAAGTTCAATAAACTGCAATTAGCTGTTATCTAAACCTGCAGCATCAGTCCATACTGGCCTGCATTGTGAAAACAGTAAAAAAAAAAAAAAAAACGTATCGACGCGTTACAAGCAACCCTGAAGCAACACAGCTAAAGTTAGCTAAAAGTAAAGCTAAATTAGCAGGGTGACGTGATGGTGGAAGTGGCTACTTTGACCCAAACTATACTTAATTGTTGAATAAGTGACAAACTTAAGAGAAAGCTCTTCACTATCTTTTCCTTCAAAGTACAATTTAGCAGGGAAAAATAAAGAGGTCAACAGTAGCGGACATGAATGCTACTTTGTCATTTTTACAACTGGCTAACGCCCAATGCTCCTAATGTTAAGCTACGCCTCTGTTTCAGCCATTTGTTGCCGATTCTCACACTTGAATTAGCTTCAGCTAAAGCAGCGGGTAAACAAACACTGGTATAAAACTAGCCAAAGTCAACCAAAAATTCTTACTTTAAAGTCGTTTCCACTGAGGTCTACCCCCCTAATGAAGGGAAGAACTCCGGTGGCAGCCATTTCTGACTAGTTGATGTCAGCTCCTCCACCCTTAACTGTCTATTTTGGTCCGAAAGGAAGGAGGGTTGTGGCTGTTCTTCTTTCTGGTTTTGACAACGTCTGAACACCGCACGTTCGAGCACATTACTGCCCCCCTCTGGTTCAGGATGTTGTGGATTGCAAATTGCGGTAGAAGACGTGGATGCGCCCCCCAGTGGTGGACAGCTAACATTACGCATTCTCCTCACAAAAAACCCCATCAAAAATAAATTAAAAAAAAATATGGAAAGCGGGCCACTCCCCACTCCCAACGCAATTTAGTATAATACTAAATTCAATTAAAATTAAATTAACTAAATTAAAGCAGCCTGTTGACTTCATAATGCAATTAGAAAATTGGGTCTACGTGTGTTACGTGTGTGTGTGTGTACGTAACACACTTCTACTTCTTCTACGTGTGTCTACGTGTGTGTACCCTAATAAGAGACAAATATTATTCCACGAAGCTAATAATCAAGAAGCACAGCAAATAGGTCAGGCATAAAGTTGTAAAGCCATACAATTGAATTATGTTATCTATTTCATGTTGAGTATTACCCAAATACTAATCTATCATAAATGACTGTAACTAAACCAGGAGCAACTTTTATAGAAAATGAAATGAACAAGATAAAAATATAAGCAACAAAAAAGTAGTATCATCTGCTGTTGCATTTCAGACAACTGTCACAACTGGGGGTTTTGTATTTACTTTAATTTTTAAGAAAGACACATGATTTTTGGAGAAAGTTGTTAAAATAGAAAGGTAAGGAAAGTACAGAATTAATTAGAGAAACTACCAAAAGCCTAGCAAAAGCATAGTAGCCCTAGCTGCAGAGATTCACAGCTCAAGAAACACATAGTGGTGGTAGCATCATACTGTTGACTTTTCTTTATCAGGGACATGGAAGCCGGTCAGAGTTGATTGGAAGATTGGAGCAGGGTTCACCTTCCACCATCGATTTATCCTTTTTCTTCTACTTCAAAATCATGCAACCATATGTGATGATCTATCACATAACACCGCAATGACAAGTTTAACAATAATTAAGATGAAACAACAACAGCATATTGTTTTAGAAAATAATTTCTTTTACACAAATATTAGTTTTTTTTTTAATCTAAAATAGGATTGCATTTTCTATCCTTTTAAGCAGTGATTTAATTAAGACAATTTAGATAAAACATTTGTCAGCTGAGAACATCGATTTTTTAAATTATTATTATTATTTATTATTCATATGACAATCTTCGAGCCCAAATCGTGATGTTAGGCTTAAAATAGTGTGAAGTCACAAAAACAGTTAACAGAAAAACGTGTCATTGACCTTCAACGTAAAAATACATGCTCTTTTAAAAACTAATCTTGATGTAACGTCTCCTCTTTCTCTGTAGAGGTTAGTTTTATTTTGAAAGTAACAAAAGCGGAAGTCAGCAGACGTAATGACATCACCCTTCTGTTAACTCCTCCCCTCCATCTGTACCGTTTAAGGGTCTGCAGTTCAGCTAACCGAGATAAAAAACCAGATAATTTAGAGTTGAAGTAATGGATAAAAATATACCTCGGTACAATGTTCAACTGTATATTTACGACCTGTCAAGAGGAATGGCTCGCAGCCTTAGTCCTATCATGTTAGGTAAGTTGGTATTAAATAATTGTAATTAAAAAAAATAGCGGATGCAGAATGGCCGAAAGGGGACAATATGTGAATAATATCTTTTAACTTTACACGTCTAAGTATTATTTTCCCAGTTTATTAAAATCCTGACTGTTAGAGGTTGTACATTATATCATGGGAACAGGGATGTCATTGGTTTAAACGGGCTCTTCAGAACCAGTTAAAATGGGTCTGCTGTCTCCTACCGTCACTAATCATCTCCTTGTTGCAGGTAAACAGCTGGATGGTATATGGTGAGTCTGACTTCCTGAACCGTAGGAATACTGTATGCTCTGAAATACAACTACAACATGTAGGGCAGTAACTTAAAGAGCATTGCAAAATCTGTATAGCTTGCTACAACGTTTCTGCAGTCTGTAACTTGGATTTACTTTGGCTTTTTTCTTGCAGGCACACAGCTATAGTGGCATATGGTGATGAGTTCTTCTTTGGAGGGGAGGGCATCTCCAGCTGTTCACCGGTAAGATGGATTTGCAGCTCCTAACAGTGAACTTCAGAGACTTTTTACCCTCCCTTTTAGTCACCCTGCTCCCTGTATGCGGTGGCAAGATAAACCCGAGCCCTTTCTGTTCACAGCTTGGCTTATCATAAACTTTCAAATTACTGCTCTCACTGTCGATAGGAACAAGTGTTTAATTTCCTGACTAATGAAGACCAACACACATCTGCTTTTCCATAATGACATGTTCTCTTGTCTTTCTAATTTTAAAGAAAAGCTAGGAGAAAATAAAAGAAATAATTTAATTCCTTAAGATTTCAATTATTAACTATTATAAAATAAGTATACATTTCTTCTACATAATATATATATACATATATATATATTTATTTATTTATTTATTTATTTTTCCCACTGAATTCTATTTTTTTATTATTATTATTATTATTTTTGCAGCTGAAATTATTTGAAGGATTTTTACCCAGGAAGCAAATAAATGGCGCTAGGCAACAATACTAGTCCCTGTTTACACATGGAAGACAGAAGATGGCTTACGTATTAAGATTTGGAAATGCAATAGTTTATGTTTAATTGCACATTTTAAACTTGAACATCAAAATTTTAAGTGCAATTTTGCATAACTGTTTTGTTTGTTTTGAAACAAATGTCGCGACCTCTTGCTTGCCTGTGTATTGTTTTAGTTTTTCTCACCATCACAATAAGATTAATTAAAAAAAAAAATTCTCTTGGTTTTTGTTTTGCTGTTTTTCACTCAGTTAATGTGTTTTTCTTGAGAGTAAATCTGTAAATATTCTGCTTTTTCTATGAATTGGGAAAAAAAGCTACTTTTTGACAGCTTTTTAAAAATATTTCACAAAAAATGTAGCTGTAATCAGAATACTTTATTGTGCTTTTTTTTAATGACCGTGCAGAGTCTAAATGCCACTAATATAATTAAACTTTCATAGACGTCACATGGAAAACATGATTGAAGCTGATAATGACATTAGTTATAAAAAAAGTAAAAAAAATAAAATAAAAAAAAAAGTAGATGCATAAAATTCAATGGTAACATTTAAAAGAGCGCCGAAAGACGAGACCAAAGCGAAATGAACAAGAGAAAAAAAATCCTGTTCACATACGACATTAACTCTTTACAGTTGTTTATGTTTATGGTTGTGATAAGTACCGTCTTCCTCGCTGCAGCTAATTATTGATGAGTTTCCACATCCAACAAAGTTGTAGCTTTTAGTTTTGCCCTGAAGGAAAAAAAAAAAAAAACTAAACTAAATGAGCGGGGTGTTGTTCCCACGGCATTTCAGTTTCAAAACGCTTTTCTCTGTGTGGTTTATGTCAGGGAGGGACGATGCTGGGGCCTCCAGACACGGTGGTGGAGCTGGGCGAGACCGAAGTGACGGAGGAGATCTTCATGGACTACCTCTCCTCTCTGGGAGAAACGACATACAGGTCCTGGGGGCCGTCCTGTCCTCTTTTGTAGCGAAGCTAATCTCGGTCCAGTCGTGACTTCAGCGTCAAGATGATAAATCTCAAACCTTCTCTTGCTTGTTTGTTCAGAGGCGACAGGTATCGTCTGTTCGAGCACAACTGCAACACGTTCACCAACGAGGTGGCCCAGTTCCTGACTGGCAGGTCCATCCCGTCGTACATCACAGACCTGCCGTCGGAGGTCCTCTCCACGTGAGTGACCGGCTTCCACAGAAACTGGTTTAGAGTTACGATAAACGGACCTGGTTTATTCTCCTGGAATGACACGCCGGTTTGAGGGGAGTTTTGGTTCGGTCACAGCTGAGACAAGTTTTACCACAGATTCGGTGTGATCTGCTTCCAGCTACAGACATGACCCAGAGCTTCTCTTACAGGGATAAAAAAAAAAAGGCAATTATGTTACTATTTATATGTAACACACATTGTATATTGTCACCTTCCTAAAATAATAGCTTGCTGAATTTTTTATTCTTTTTGCCTAAGACATCTTTTGTAAAAAAAAAAAAAAAAAGAAAGAGAAAAAAAAGTGGTGATTTTTGTTGTTGCCAAAATTACTTTTGGCAAGAAACAATGACTTGGGCCATTATTTTAGGAAAGTTAGGATATGTAAAATGTGTATAAGATAATTAGTTATTAGTCATCTGCAACTTGTTTAAATCTGTTAAGACCTTTTTCATCCACTTTAAATTATAGAGCAGGAGCAATTGGTATTTTTTGTTTAACAAAAGACAGCATGCGAACTAACACGATTCAGATAAGCCGAGTATAGAGAGTTTATTCTAAAACATTAATAAAATCAACTCACCCAGGTTAGAATATTTTTAAAATGACGTAAATAAGGAGCTCAATTCCACTTTCAGTGCCTTTAAAGGTGAGGAAAATAAACATGTCAAGTGTATATTTAGGGATTTCCATTGGTAATGTTTTCGTAAATGTTGCAGCATTCATTTCCCAAAAGCCGAAATTGAATCAACTTGGAAGTTGGATCCCTGGTTCGATTCCAAGCACAGATTCTTTTTGCATGATGTGTCCACGTTCTTTATGGTCCTGTAGACAGAGACCAGCCGCCCTTTGACCCTGCAGAGATAAGCAGTGTAGATAATGAATCAATGAGTGAGTGAGTGTGTGTGGTAAATGTTCATTTAGGACACATAAATGCAGTTTTTAATAATCAAACGTGTAAATGTAAAAAAAAAAAAAAAAATCTCAGATTTTAGTCAATTTAAAGTGTCTCAGGTTGTGACTGTTGTGAAATAATATGAGTTATGGGTTGAAATCCAAACACTTTCTATTTATTTCTCTCTTTCTCGCCTCTCCGTCACTTAAAATCAGTAAACGGAGGGTCTGCATTTCTTAAAATTTACTTCAACTTAATCACAACACATTTAAATGGCTTCTGGTCTGATGAACCGTGAATTATAAAGTTTAATTTCTGTGATGGAGTCATTGATATGTAGTTTGTTTTTTATTATTTCAAATAAAATCTCTTTTGTCCCATCCTCCAGACCGTTCGGCCAAATCCTTCGACCGATCCTCGACTCCATCCACATCTCCCCGCCCGGAGGCAACATCATCAACGGCGGGAGGAACATCTGACCGCCTGTTGGAGCCGCCCGGTGTTCTGCAGGTCTCTTTCAGTGTTGCTGATCTCTTTTAATTCTTTTGTTTCCCGTCTTTGTTTCTCATTCGTTCTGCATAATAAGTGACCACCGACTTAAGGGGGAAATATTTTTCACATCCAAGAGATTTTACAGCATGCCAGTGATTTGACAGTAGAGGCGACGCATCTTGTTTTTGGTCTTTGTGCGATTTGTGAAATTGAAACAAACAAAAACACAGCATTTAATCAATGCAGTTCAATTTTCACATAAAACCAACTTGGTTTGGATAACCTTTTTTTTTTTCTTCCCCTCAATAAACACAATCTTCATTTGGAAACTGTACATTTTTTTTAAATTCGCCTAAGTTATCATTGTCTGATATGAAAATGAGAAAAAAAATGAGAATTGTATATTTAATCAGTTAATGTAGGAAACAGATTCTGATATTTACTCTCAGTATAAGATGAAGAATAACATAATAAAGTCTTCATGTGACGTAAATAAGGAGCTCAATTCCACTTTGTAATGGATAAATTAATCAAAATCCCTGAAGGTTTTACTCTGAAACAAAATTTTCCATTGAAAATTTAGTGTTAAATTACACTTGACTATGTTATTCATCGCTGGAGTTTATTCTTTAAACGTATTTATATTTGGTAAAGTCATCCTGACTTTAAGTCGGTCACATTTCTATATTTGCACCTTGTTCATGTTTGTTAGCCTTTAGTTTATGTCCAATCAACATTTTTTTTTTATACGTGTCTGTAATCTGTTTTGATTTATATTTTCATTTTGTTGACGCACAATATGTTGTTGAGGAATAAGAATAACTTAAACATTTTCCTCTATAGAAATGACTCCATATTTTTCCATTTTGTTTGTGTTCAGTACATAAAGAGTTTTCTTTAAAATTCCATCCTGCTCTCTCAACAATACAACGATAACCTGCTTGAGTCCTTTAACAGCCACCAGAGTGTGTTTGAACTCCAGCACACCTCTGTGCCTTCATCCCCCTCTGCCTAACTAGACTCTCAGCCTCCATAAGGCTGTTTAAAGTTGACATAGTGTCTATATAACAAAGAAGATATAATAATATGAATTACACATCTAGTGCGCAAAGCAACACCCTCTACCATCTTATTGTAGAACACGCGTGATGCACCGCTTTGAGTACAACACAGCACCCGTCCACACACTTACTGCTACCCCGGGTAAAATGACTGGAAGTAAATTAATCTTTTATCGAAGCAGAAATATTCTCAAACGCCAAAGAATTTGAGAAATCGATTGGGAATTGGGAGTGTTTTTAGCGTTAGCCACTCTTGACCCGGATGTTTTGAAGAACCCCTTTTGGGTAATTGGACAGGGTTCCATCACCCCACAACTTTGTTTTTTGTTTTTATTTTACAGGATTTAAGTCTCAAGGCTGAGACGGCCTTGGAAGAAAGATAGTTTTGTGTCCCATCAACCGTTTCTGTGGCCAAATTCTCTTCACCATCGTTCTGCACAACTACCCAAAGTTAGTTCAATTTCAGTTTTCTGCCAAAAAAAGTCACTTCTTCTGATATATTTCAGATTCTCCTATAGTCCGACACATTGCACCACAGTCGGCATGCAGCGCTTATCCAAATATTCATCCGCCAGGAGTTTTTGTCTTCATCGTTTAATCTTTAATCACAATCCCATCTGAACCGAAGACACAACTCTTGATAAATTCGCCACAGTGTCAAGCAAACTCCACATGTTTACGTTTGTAAAGGTTGGAAGCTCTTTTCCTGGGATGCCTCCAAGGTGACTGGCATGTAGGTCACGACTTATGGTTGCTAAGGAAACGTGGCTTTCTTTTAACTCCCTTACCATATTTCTTACTGTGCACTGTGGCAAATCTTCATCATGTTGCTTTTACCTTTTTAATTATTGCTTTAGCAGAGAAAACCTAAACTCTGCTATTTACCAACTTTCCAAGATCTGCCTTACTTAAACCTTCTCTCTTCCCATTTTGAAGAGAATTTGGCCTTTTGTCATGTCATGTTTTCACCACTAGGCAAACAGGATGTTGTGATGGTCAAAGTTCCTGATCTACAGATAGCTAAGGGATATTTCTAAATGTTCTACACTGAATAAACGTACTAAAACTAAAGGGTGTAAAATTATTCTCCTGCGATGAAAGATTAATTTGTTTCAAGGCTTTTTAAATATCCTTAGCAGGGGTGCCAATTAGTGCGGGAGGGGCGCAGTACACTAATTAAACGGCTTTAGGGTCTTTCCAGAACCTTTTTCTGCACGAACACAAACTACGAGCACAGTATCGAGAAGCAAGAATCTCCGAGGGTCTAAACCAGCATTAAGCTTCATGTTCTCGTGCAATAAACAAACCTTCCACCCTCGCTTTCCCAGCAGCCACTGGGGTCGGCCATTCTTAGTCTCGCTCTCCTGCATCAGGACGCAAATGCTCCAGGAGAACTTGAGAGTTCCCCACCTTCTCTCCAGCTCACTGACACACCAACCCGACCGCTGAAATGTATCGCTGAACAAGTCGCCCTTTATCGCGCCGGTGTACGTTGTTGCTTGCTGCTAGCCGTCCTGTGAAACTGCAGATTGCACCAGATATTTATAGGTATTGTTTACCGATTTATTTAAGAACAAAACAGTGTTATATATTTCTGCACTTTGTATTGTTTGTGTAATGTGGGTTTTTGTTTTTTCCTTGGTATTTCTTTGTAAATCTATCTGTGAATTAAAGTCGTTGAAACTCCTTCTGTGGTGTTTCTTGTCAAATGCAGCGATTCTCAGTAGGCTTTAAACGCCGACTCACGAGTACTTTGATGAATTAAGATAATCTGTTCAAATGAAAGAATGCATATTTTCTTTGTGTGTACCAATAAACATTTTACATCACTGTGGAGAAAATTCAGCCCGTTTTTCTTTGCCAGATTTTTAATTTTAGCCACAACAGAAGATTATAAGATTATAGCACAAACATACCAATACGATTGAGGTCATAACTTTGACTAGGCCTCTCCAAATCCTTTGTTTTTTTTGTTTCTTTGTGTTACAAATAGCTTTATAGCCTGGTAGATGTTGAATGTCTTCAAATCAAATCATTGAGTTTGTTTAGGCTACTTCATGTTGTCATGCATGCATAGAGGAGGTTCATGAATACACACACAAATGTTGAGATTATTTCACATCAGGTGTTGGAAAATGAAAGCTTTTCTAGCCCACCTGTGTTGTTAATTGTCAATGTTTTATCTGTCCACCAGGTGGCAGGGTTCACCTACAGTTCAGTTAATAACGCCAAGCTGCTGCGCCAAGGTGTCCCACAAAATACAGACCGAAAATTTTTTTTTTAGGTTAAACAGACAATCCTAAGAGCTATATTACCAATGGCTCTTGCTTTCACAAAACGCTTTATTTCTCTTGGGGAAATTCAGTGAAGCATAGCCTCGTCTTTCTACTGTCTGTCTAACCTGCTGCGGTGCGGGGAAGGAGCCATTAGTGGAGCCTGATGCTGAAACGCGAGGAGCTGCACACAGGAGAGTTTCTTCTGCAGTTCAGAGACTGGGGCTGTTTGTGGACCTGAGGGGAGATTTAATGAACCTGCACTGGTTCAGGTGTCACCCCTACAGAGATGGAATCCAGCTCACTCCACTTCATCTCCTTCAAATAAAAAAAAAACAAAAAAAAAAAACAAAAGTTCTGTTTCAACTTATTCCATTTATTTAGCACTGGTTCACAATTAATGAAATTTTATAGGACTTCATGCTGCGGCATGTATATTTGATCAAAATATGTATTTTACCTATTTGTTGAAGGTGTCACTATCTCGGCACTAACTGCAGAAATGCACTGCTTCTGGTCTCCAACGCTCCAACCTGCCATCAGAGCCTGTCATAAATGCTCAGGCTAGTTAGCATAGCCACCGATGACAGCGGATATAAAATTATGCTAATGGTGGAGTTATTTCTCCACCATTAGCATATTTAGCAGCGCGTACATGAGCTTGATTGACAGCGCTATGACACTTCCCCTGGCTCTGATTGGCAAACATTGGTCGTTGTTTGAGAGGAGCCACTCTCTTTTAACAGGAAGAACTCATGAACACAACCTGGTTGAGGATGAGTGGTGTGTGTGCGACAGTGTGTGAGTGGACAGGAAGGAAAGACAGAAGAAAAACACAGAACTACTGGGACAGGAGGACATCCAATGGGACATAAAGCTAAAGGCAGTGACAGCCATGCCAATGGATTCATACAGGAAAGATGAACAGTAAGCCTACTTTCGATGCAAACACAAAACAAAGAGAGTATGCTCTTAATTTGAGGAGGAACTGCTAATAATATATGCATGGAGAGCAGTAGGAGAAAAAAGTAAAGACAGGAAAAGCCATAGACTTCATCACAGGTTAAAGTAGAGCCTTACAACTAGAAGATCTGGGCCTTAGGAGCACCAGAAAACCTGCAGTCATAAAGCCAAGTGCTCTGTAGAGAACAACTGACTTATTGATTAATCAGGACTTTAAGTGTAAAATGAAATTATTGTTATTATTATTATTATTATTATTATTATTATTAAGAAGAGAAAATGCAACCGGTGAAGCACGATTTCTTCTTTTGACTTTCCTTTTAATTTCCATTCTTCTATCCACTGAGGTAATTTTGTATTTATGTCATATAAGTCTGATTATTAAAATGGGTTTTGAGCTTTAACAATTCTTATTATCCCCTTTACATACACTGTTATTGGAAGGACACAATAAACCTCTTCAGGGAATCCAAGGCTAAAATTTGCCTGGCAGTAGTTTCACTTTTATAATTTCCCCAGAAACTGCCCACCTGCAAACAAGCAGCAAAAATAAAAAAGCGCCAAAACTGACTTTCTGATTTATGAGAAAAGAAAGCCCATAAAACATATTTATAATTTTCAGATTTAAAATCACAAAACTGATGTATGGCAATGCTCCAAACTTACATCTGTAAATTTATTTTTGCTGCCTGTTTGAGTGGATTTGGTTTTTCATTACTTCAAACTCAGCTCTGCTGTTTAACCTGCAGTATAAGGTGAAATAAACAAACTTTCTGACATAACAGGATTTATATCTATCATTGCTACAAATAAATAACATGAGTATTTAGATTTTGCGCTAGGCATACTTTAGAAATGGTAGATTTCCCATCATAGAATTAAAAAAAACAGATATGGACAATCTGATCCATCCCAAAAAGAAGGAAGGAAATAATGCATACAGCCCTACAATGTCCTTTCTCCAGGTGACGAAGTCGATTTAACTCACCTAGACGGAAAGTCATGGTTGTCCTTGCAGGACTTGACAAACGTTGCCGCTCTCTCCACTTTCGAGAACACCGTCAGGCCGGGTCAGAGCCGCGACCATTGGACCTCTTTGTCCTGCTGTGAAGACAGGACATGCTGCAGTGACGCGTAGGGGTGACTTCTTTGTTTCGTTTAGCCTTTGCAACTCTACAGTTCATTTCACACTCTAGTTCATTAAAATAAACTGGTTTGCACAGTGAAGAGCTCTGGTAGCTTTAGGGGGCAGTTGAGGTGGCAACTTAAGCGCATGTTGAGGTTTTAAGTGAATAATAGATTTTCAAGAACCTCCATTACAGACATAGAAACAGGATTATATTCAACGCTATTGAGAAACGTCTGGCCCAAAACGTACTGCCAAACACTGCGAGGAGACTTTACTCTCAACATAATAGGAACCGTGAGCACAAGACTGGCAAGCTCTGAGCTGCACCTTAAAGGCACAAAACTCAAATTCAAGAATACTTTATTCATCCCAAAGGGAAATAAAATAAAATAAAATGTTCTGCTGCCTGGAGATACAGTAATAGATTTTTTTTTTTTGCATCCCTTCTCTCTATGAGTTTAAACCATGTGTATAAAGCAACGTAGACCTCAAGAAGTACAGGTTTTATTCTGTATTTTCGTGTAAAGTACCAGGAAAGATCTTTGTTTTAGTATTTCTTCCACACCTCTTGACATGCTCAGCATCACTCAGAAAAACTCTTCTTTTTTTTTGGGGGGGGGGGGGGGGGGGGGCGAATTGGGAAAACAGAATCGCTGTTGGAGCCAAAGTGACACTTACTCCAGCCAAGAAAGGGACCGAGGCGGCAAAACCACAAAGAAAAACACCAGTGAAATAAAAAAAGACTACTGTTTTATTGCTGATCTTTGTTGGTTTTAAGTTGTTTGTCTTTTGACTTATAAATAATAAGCAATGCAGCCAATCTTTGTGCCTTTGTGTGTTTAATAATACCGTTATCTCTGAATTGCATGTAACTAATTCGATGGGTTGATAAATGTTAATTTCATGTACTGGTATATCCAGAATCACCTCACATTAAAATTATTTCAAGTAGCAAACTAATCCGAATATAAGATTCAAAAATAAGTTTTGTTTCTGCTTGTGTCACGGGAGTTTTAATGAACACTAGAGATTATTAGATAAAGAAAAGAAAGGACATTGTTTCCAGGAAAGGACTTAATGTGAACTCTCCTGAAAGGTTTATTCATGGAACAGCTTCCTTGTCATTTAGCGTTTAAATCCGTAATTAACAGATCAATGTACCGTTATCGAAGCTTGCCCCGTCGTTTTAAGAAAGGAATAATTAACTTTGCGCAGGATGTGGGTCAAGTTCACTTCGAGGTGACTGTGGAAGTCTAAATCTGAAGCGTAGCAGGTTGAAATAAACCAGTTAAATGGTTGGGAATTGCATAACCCTACTAAATTATCCAGAGCTAAACCAGATTTCTGGGCACGCATTTTGTCGAGAGAGAGAAACATATTTGTTCAAATATTACGTAGAAACACACACACATACACACCGTCTCTGAGTAACAGGCTCTTTCTTGTGCTGTCACAATGCTTGTCTCTACATCTAATTAGGTTCGGTCTCAGAGGAGTCTGGCTAAATGTTCGAAGCTACATCAGTAAGTGTGATGATTATTCTTGTCCAGTCATGCTTGCTCCGACATGGACTTATCTCTGCTGCGTCAGTTTGAATGAGTGTCAATTTGTTGCAGTAGGCTTTTTGCTTTTTATCTCTTCTTTTCTCTCGACAGCTCATCTCCATTTAGATCTTTTGCCTTCCCATATAAATCTTCTTTGCCATTCAGCCTCTCTTGCCTCAGTCTCGCCAAGCATGCTTCCATTTCTTCCCCCATTCATCTCTTTCCTGCTTTCCCCCCCGAATATCATGCCATTCCTTTCCTCTTTGACTGATTTGCTCCCTTCTCTTCTTTTTCTTGGCATTCTTGATTGCCTCTGTTTTTTTTTTATGTATATATAAATATATAAAAGCCGCCAGCTCTCTTGCTTTTCAAACCTCCTCAAATTTATTTTCACGTCCGACTTCTTTACCTGTGATCGTATTCATATCGTACTAACTACACTGAGTTTCTCTGGCGAAAATTCAAAAAATACAAAGAACATTTAAAGAACAAATCCCACCACTTGCATCCCAGTACAAAGTAATGGCACACTTAATAATCTGAACTTTTAGACATGCGTAATGTGATTCGTCCTCGCTCCTCTTGTTATGTGAACAAACACTGAACCTGTGTTTGGTTTTCTATTCTATTTTGGTGTCAGTTCTGCACAAGAACTATTGTAGTAGCATAATTTTTATCCACATTTTCATTTTGCTTCAATGTTTAGTAAAAGAAAAGAAAATTCCCCGGTTGTATTACTCATTCCGTTTCACCCAGGCCTTTCATTGAACACCTCTG